TCCTGTAAATAGGACTTTCCTATCTTGGGTTTGCTTCACATGAAAAACATCTGAGCCGGCAGCTGTGTGCGCAAGCGTGGGGAGATGTCTGCGACAAGGGCGGGACTGGTGGGCTGTTTGGCTGTGCTTGGACTTGGGTTGGAAGCGCAGGTCATCCGTGTGAGCCTATTTATAAGATCGTATTGTGGGGTTCACAGAATAATCTGGACTCGTGAGTCTTAATTGTTGCTATTCCCCGAGCCCCTGCTCTGTGCCAGGCCCTGTCTGGGGACACAGTAGTGATCATGACAGCCCCAGCCCTGCCCACCTGGGGCTCACAGCCCAGTGGGGGAGACTGACCCCTCCTCAGACAATGGCAACCGCGAGGGGGTGGCTGACCCAGCCCGGGGGAAGCGAGGGCTTCCTGGAGGATGGGGCCAGAGAGGTGGCCTTTCTTCCGAAGGCCCTAGTGAGCTATGGCAGGCTCAGAGCAGGGGACGGACGGCGTGAGATGTGAGCTTTAGAAAGATTCAGCGGGCAGCCGCATACACGGAGCTTGTGAACTCGCGATCATGAGCTTGCAGGACCCGCAGGCGTGTCTCAGAGTGAGTGTGGCCGTGACCCTGTGGGTATCCCGTTTCCGGGTGGCTCTGCAGGGGTGCGGGCACCCGTGTGTTTTCTCCTCAGGACCCCCTAACCTTCCTTCACTGTCCACCCCAGAGGCCAGCCCCACCAAGGTGCCCCCCTCCTCCCTGGTCCAGGAGCGATCCTTCTTCGTCCGCATGAAATCCACCCTCACCAAGCGGGGGCTGCATGTCAAGGCCTCGGGGTACAAGGTGGGTGCGGGTGGCCTGGCCCCAGCCTGACTCCACGTTCCTTCCCCTGGGGGGGCGGGCTCCTGCAGTCCCACCAGCTATGTCCCAGCCCCCAGGGGGACTGAGGGGACCAGGCTGGTGGCTTCACTGGCTGCACATGGCTTGGGAAACCAGGTCTAGGAACTGGGGGTGGGGGTGTCACACACTGCCCCTTGTGCCCCAGCGCCTGTGGGTGACAGATGGAACCTGGCCTGGTGGCCTGGTGGTCATGGCTCTCCTGCCCCATTGGCCCTGCCTTGCCCCTCCTCCAACCACGCCCGCCGCCAGCAGGTCATCCATGTGACTGGGCGCCTTCGGGCCCACGCACTGGGCCTTGTGGCCCTAGGCCACACGTTGCCCCCAGCCCCACTGGCTGAGCTGCCACTACACGGACACATGATCGTCTTCCGGCTCAGCCTGGGTCTCACCATCCTTGCTTGTGAGAGCAGGTACCGGGGGTTGGGGGCTGGATGGGGGCGCACAGGAGACCTGGGGGGGGGCCTGGAGGTGGAAGAGCAGCAGAGGGTGGGGCGAGGGGAACAGGGAAGGGAAGGCAAGGTGGGGGCAGGGCTGGGGCCTTTAGGGACAGAAGAGGAGAGGAGGGGCTGTGCCTGGTGGGGACTCTGAGGCTCGGGACCTCCCTCTGGGGCTGCTCGTGCAGAGGTCCGCCTGTCTCAGCCCCTTTCTCTCTGGCCTCTTGTCCACTCCCTGCCCTGCCCTGTGCGGGCGCAGGGGGCGGAGTTACACAGTGAAATAGTCCCTGTGCTCTGAGCGTCTCCAGAGTGCCTGGGTCTGGCCAGTTACCATCTGCCTGAATGCTCACAGCCACCCTGGGAGGGACACCGTTATTATGCCCATTTTACAGAGAGGAAAACGGAGGCCCGGAGCCAGGGTTGGAACCCCAGGTGACTCTGGATCCAACTCTACCTCTCCGCCACCGTGCTCTCAGAATCCTCCTGCCCTCCTCTCTCTGTTGCCCCAGAGTCAGCGACCACATGGACCTGGGGCCCTCAGAGCTGGTGGGTCGCAGCTGCTACCAGTTTGTCCACGGACAGGACGCGACCAGGATCCGCCAAAGCCACCTGGACTGTGAGTCATGCCTCCACCAACCGCCCCCAGACCTGAGCACCCCACCGCCCAGCTCCCTGGAAGTCCTCCTTAGGGCTGGCCACAGTCCTTCCTGCTGCAACGCCAGCTCCAGGGGCTCAATTCAGCACAGGAAGAGCAGCAAGGAGACCCCGAGCAACGGCTCAGGGGCGGGAGCGGGAGCAAGGAGACTGCGGGGACTTTGACCCACCCTTAAGAACCTAGTGGCCGCGATGCTGAGCTGCGTCCCGGTCTCTCTGACTCTGGCTCTCTCTTCCCTGCTGTCTTCCCCTTCCTGTCTCCCTGTCCTCCCCCGCTGGCCTTTCTCTCCCTCTCGCCTGTCTGCTCCTGTCCACCTGTCTGTCTCTTTCCGGCTGCCACGCCCCCGCCCCCACCCCGGGCTGGGCCCAGTGCTGGACAAGGGTCAGGTGATGACTGGTTACTACCGCTGGCTACAGCGCGCCGGGGGCTTTGTGTGGTTGCAGTCCGTGGCCACCGTGGCTGGGAGCGGGAAGAGCCCGGGGGAGCACCACGTGCTCTGGGTCAGCCACGTGCTCAGGTGAGGGCCGCGCCCCACCCCTCCCACCCCAGGCTCAGGGCCCAGCCACTTTGCCCCCCTCCCAAAGAGTCTGCTGTCTCTCCCCTCCTCGGGCGGGGGCTCTTCCAGGAGGGTTTCTAGAACAGGACAAGCCCGGAGGGGTCTGCAGACATGAAAGGGACAGGGGACGGAGAGAGCAAAGGCCTAGGGGTAGAACGAGAGGTCTCCATCAGGAGACGGAGTGGCTGGGGGCAGGGGGACAACACCTTTGAGGGAGGCGGGAGCAGGTTCGCAGCGGCCACAGCCCAGGTTGAGGGTCTGGACTTGATTCTGGAGCACTGGGGAGCCATGGCAAGCTCTTACCAGGGGAGGGCCAGAGCAGAGCAATTCGTGGGAAGCAGCTGGAGGTGGGAAGGGCACTCCCAGCAGAGGGCGCAGCGGAGGCAAAGGCTCTGACCTGTCCCAGGAATGCAGCTGTGCTTGGGGACAGAGTATAAAGTCGTGAGAGATAAGGCTGAGGATGATTGCGGGGACTTTTCTCTCAGGGGCGCTGGGGACTTTCGGAGGGTTTTGGGGTTGGGGGGGTTCCCTTTCAATTTTGTTTTTTTTTTTTTTTTTTGGGTTGGGTTTTTGTTGGTTTGCCCGGGTTGGTTTGGACTTCTTGGGTTTTGGGATTCCCCCGCGAGTAGCTGGGACTACAAGTGTGCACCGCTGTGCCCGGCTCCCGTCTAGTTTTTAGAAAGATCCCCCTGGCTCCTATGGAGAGGGGGAACTGGGGGACAAGACAGGCACTGGGGGACCAGGGAAGAGGCTGGGGCAGGTCCTGGGGATGCCGGACTCTAAGTGTGGAGGAGGGAGGCGGCCACCTCCTGCCCAGGTCTCCAGCCTTGCTGGGCCTGGGTCTGGGCCCCTGAGAGGAGCAGCAGGTTTGGAAGGAAGACGCTAGGGTCAGATGAACATGAGGTCCCAAGGGACACCCAGGCAGTGACATCCAGGTGGCCACGGGCCATATAGGTCTACCCTCAGAGACAGCCAGCCTGGGCTGGACATCAGCTTGCATTTTGGGCCCCAGGCTGGGGGCTCCACATTCACTGGTGGGGGGGTGTCTACACTGACAGAGGGGCAGGGGACGTCTACACTTATCACAGACTGGGCAGCCGGGGAAGACCCCTGGCCCCCAGCCCTATCTGTCTTGTCCCCAGTCAAGCCGAAGGTGGCCAAACACCTCTGGACACCTTCCAGCTGCCAGCCAGCATGGCCCGTGAGGACGAGCCCAGCCCGACGCCAGACCCCACAAGTAAGCCCCACCTCGGCCCGGGAAGCTCCGAGGAGCCTCTGGGACCTGCGCGGTCCGGTCCAGAAGCCACTAGCCACATGTGGCCACTTACATTAACGTGAAAATTAAAACTTTGCATCCTTGGTCACGCTCACATTTCACGGGCTCAGTGGCCACATGTGACCAGTGGCTGCCTCGTGGGACAGTGCAGACATAGAACATTTCCATTACCACAGAAAGTTAGTTCTATTCTGGAACATTCTATGGAACAGCACAGGTCTAGACCAGGGTTTCTCAATCCCAGCCCCACTGACATTTAGGGCCAGGTGATTCTTTCTTGTGGGGGGTGTCCTGCACTCTGTACAATGTTTAGCCATGAGATGCCAGTGGTACCCTCCTCCCAGTTGTGACAACCCAAAATGTCCCCAGACATTGCCAGGTGTCCCCTGGGGTACAAAGCGCTCGCATCTGAGAACTGCAGTCTGGCCTGCTGCGCACAGCTCCATTCCACAGATGGGGAGACTGAGGGCTGGGGACACACACGGTGCCCTCAGACTCTTCCTCTCGCAGAGTCGGAGCGTCCAGCGGAAGGGAAGCAGCCTGTGCCCCCGGCCAAGAACGAGGCCCCCCAGCCCCGTGGCAAACGCACCAAAGTGGAGCCCGGCCCAAGGGAAACTAAAGGCTCCGAGGACAGTGGGGACGAGGAGCCATCCAGCCACGCGGCGCCCCCGCGGCCTGAGTTCACTTCTGTCATCCGGGCGGGGTCCCTGAAGCAGGACCCAGCGAGGCCTTGGGGCCTGGTGCCTCCCGGGGACCCGCCTCCCGCCCTCCTCCACGCCGGCTTCCTGCCGCCGGTGGTGCGGGGCCTGTGCACGCCGGGCACCATCCGCTACGGGCCCGCCGAGCTGGGCCTCGTGTACCCGCACCTGCCGCGCCTGGGCCCGGGCGCCGCCCTCCCCGAGGCCTTGTACCCCTCCCTGGGCCTGCCCTACCCGGGGCCCGCGGGCGCCAGGGCTCAGCGCAAGGGGGACTGAGGACTGGGAGAGCCGGGCCCTGAGGGACAGCCGGGGCCCCGCGGGGACAGGGACGGGAGCACTCGCCTGTCCCCTCCGTGACAATTAAACGCCTGCTCCGTGGGCAGCGCCTCGCTCCATTTCTGTCTCCTCCTCGGGTCTCCACCCCGCCCCCTCCCTCGCTCCATCCCCTCCAGGCCGCCTGCCCCAAGCAACACGCACCGCAGGCATCTGGAGCGAGCAAGGGCCAGTTTAATGTCCCGGTCCTCACTCGTGGGGCGGCCGGCCCGCCTCGTCCGGGCCTTCTGCGGTGGCCGTCCCGTCGTCCTCGGGCACCAGCTCCACGTCCAGCTCGAGCTGGCCCATGTACAGGCCGACGGCACACGCCCAGAGCAGGCTGGCGGCGAGCACGGCGCCCACGCCCGCGGCCGCGCCCCCCAGCGTCAGCTGCATGGGCCCCCGCAGCGCGGCCAGGCCCACGGCGTAGGAGGCGCCGCCCCACACCACGCACAGGCCGCCCAGCAGGAAGAAGCCTGCGGAGGAGGCGGCGGTCAGTGCTGCGGTGGGGGTCGGGGTGGCACAGGGCCGAGGTCGGGCGTGCCGGGCGGTCTGGGAGACGGGGGCTGGGCCAGCATGCGGGGCCAGCTAGGACCTTCGTCTTTGTTGAGAAGTCAGACTGGGGGGCACAGCCATGCCCCGGGCCACCCACTCCGGTGGTGTGGGGACGCTCAGCAGGGAGCGGGGCGTCTTGGGATGGGGGAAGATGGGGAGCAACGTTACCCTTACCACTGGGGATGGAAGGGGCAAGAGGGAGTCCACCCTCACCAGGGATCTACATGGCCCAGTCGGGGAGGGAGCGTCCACATTCTCTGGCGGGGTGAGAATGGGGGGTCTACACTCACCGTAGGCAGCTTCCCGACCCATGTCGCTCTGCATGAAGGAGATGACGCCGATGCCCGATGCCAGGAGGCCATTGCGGAACCAGGAAAGGAAGGCTGGAGGGAGGGGGAGATGGGAGCATCACCGTCACCCCAAAACCTGCCTCCTAGACCCCCTCCGCCCAAATTGTCAAACTGAGGGGCTTCCCCTGTTCCCCCGTCCACCCCAGCCAGCCACTGGGCAAACCCGCCCCAAATCCTCACTTCTTCCAGAAAGCCCCCCACCGAACCCCAAGCCCCCGTGTTCTCTCCCCCAAACTCTGCAACACCAGAGATTCAAGACGCTCTCCGCAGATTCTGGAGGACCCCGTAGAACCAAAGTGGCAGAACCTCAATCTGAGGACAGGACATGCCAAGGGGTCACCTTGGTCAACCGCTCCGCCACGTGCATCCCCACGACCTGCACTCTCCCTTCTTTTTCAGAACTCGGGACAAACTGTTTCCCCAACGCGGCCTCTCTCCGGCCTCCCCCTTCACTTCCCTTCGAATGCCACCACCTCCTACCGGGTATGGCCTGTGCTGATCCCATCCACGTCCGCCCGGCCCGCATTCAACTTGCGGTGCCAACGCACTGGCATCCTTGCAACGCCTCAGCCCTCCCCATCCTACCTAGGCGCCCGGTCGTTCCAACCTGGACCAGCTCCCCATAGGAGGCTCCTCCCCCCTGCAGCCTAGATCACCTCCCCTCCAATCAGCCAAGAGCTTTCCTGCTGTTGGTTGTCCCCTGTTCCAATCCGGGACGTCCCCTCTCCTGCGGAGATCCACACTCGAGCTCTACGCGGAGTGGTCGCCTCTGCAATCCGAACGGACCCTTCTTGCTGCAACTCCCCCTCCCTCGGCGCTCTCTGGAAGCCTCTGCCATCCAGGTGGGCGCAGTTCTGCCAGGCCGCCTCTCCTGGCCAGACCACCCCATCCCGACTGCCACAACCCGGACTCACCGTCCCCCCCGCAAGCCCTTCCCCGGTGCGGGCAGCCTGCGCTTCCCGGCGCTCGCGCGGAAGCCGGTCTCCCAGCAGAGCCCGGGCCCCGCATCCCGCAGCAGGCCCAGCCGCGTCGCCCACGCACACGCGCCGGCTGCGCGGCTCTCGGGACCCCTCCCCGCGGACAGACCCCGGCCCCTGACACAGACCTGTCTCGTGTGCCTTCCGGAGGAGCCAAGCGTCCGCGCGATCTAGCTCGGACACGGGGGGAGGCGAAGCCCCGGCGCGGAGGCCGTGGCCGGGGGCGAAGGACCCCCGGGCGCCCCCGCTCCGGGGCCGCTGAGGCGGCAGCAGCGACCTCCGGAAGCGGAGACGGGCCAGGCGGGCGACCCGAGCCCACCACCAGCCTCCTCCCATGGTTCGCACTACGGCCGCCGCGCGCCGTACCGCCCCACGGGCCGCCCGTAGGCTCCGGTTCACGTCACTCAGGATGATCGGACTGGCCATTGGTTTCATGCCTGCCACTTATAGCCGGCGTGCCCTGTCCATTGGTCGCAATGGTAACAATTCCCTCCTCTGTCATCTATGCCGGTAGTGCGCGTCCCTCTTTGATTTTGCTACTGGACTACGAATCCCAGCGTTCATTGCGCCCTGGGAAGGCTGGTCTTCGCAATTCGTGGGCGAGATGTCTGCTGGGACTTGTAGTTTTTGTTAATAACTTTAATTCCAATGGCCAGAGAAGACAAAACTTGGGATGCTTAATATAGACCCTTTGCAAAGTCACGTGGAGCTCAGAGAGGAGAGTAAAAATCAGTAGAAATCTCACTAATGAGCGATTACTCCTAATTTTTTGTTGTTTTCTACTCTTTTTTCTATGCAGATGTAAAATATAAGATACCATTTGACAAATTATTTTTTTCCATATAACAATATATTGTGAACACTGGCCCGTGACATTGAGAATATTTTTCCATGGCAGTTCTTTAATTTTAAAAATAATATTTATGTTGAACATGATACCAAATGCAGGGTCTAATGAAAAATAATTTTTGGCCAGGTACAGCGGCTAACGCCTGTAATCCTAGCACTCTGGGAGGCCAAGGCTGGAGGATTGCTTGAGGCCAGGAGTTGGAGACCAGCCTGAGAAAGAGAGAGACCCCATCTCTACTAAAAATACAAAAAATTAGCAGGGTATGATGACGCACTCCTGTAGTCCCAGGGCTCGGGAGACTGAGGCAGGAGGATTGCTTGAGCCCAGGAGTTTGAGGTTGCTGTGAGCTAGGCTGACGCACTCTAGCCCGGGCCACAGAGTGAGACTGTCTCAAAAAAACAATACAAAACAAAAATACACCATTTTACATAAGGGACTTGAGCATCCGTGGATTTTGGTATCCGCTAGAGGTCCTGGAACCAATGCCCCCTACACGTGCGCACACACACGCACAGAGAGACACAGACATAGATATGTATAGACATAGATGATCTCGAGCTAGATGAGCGTATATAGGGACACAGAGTTAGATATGTATATATCGATCTAGATTGAGATCTATCTGTATCTATATATCTATGTCGCTCTCTGCAGCACGTATGTATCTTATTGGCTCTTGTTCTCTGGAGAACCCTAATACAGTTGTTGCGTTTCTCCAGGTACTAACACAGTAGCCAAAGTTGTGGCCATTATTTGATCTCAGTCGCTTAAGCTGTCATTTTGACCAAATGACCAGCCACACTTTGCAGCCAAACCATCTTGGGCACCCCCCAAAGGGCCACTCGCGAACACCGAAGTTGTGCTTCCTGCCCGCCCCCGGGCCTCCGAGACGCAGGCGCCACCAGAGTCGGGGCCATGCAGGAGAAGCGTGGGAGAAAGTGGCTGAGAGGGGAGGAACAGGAAGGCCCGGGGGCCTGAGGGGCAGGGAGAGCCCCGCGACCTCCCCGGAGGAGGAGGCTGAGGAAGGAAGTCCCTTAGGCCGGAGACACCCTTCTCGAGGCCGCCGAGTTAGCTAGGCGCGCATTGGGGACCGCGCACAGCTGGGATCGCGCACAGCGGAGATCAGGCAGCCGACGCGGTTGACATTAGCGCCGCCTTCTGGCCACACGGTGGAATTGCAGTCCCCGTCCCTTTGACGCTAGGCTGCGCACGTGACTCGACTGAGCCCCTGAAACCCAGCAGAAGTGAAGTCCCCGAGGACACAGTGAGAGCTGGCGGGCGCTTCTCCACCACCCGCCACCTGCCGGGATGTTCCAGGGGAGGAGCCTCAGTCCATCGGGTCCCCCCCGTGGCTATGATGGGCAGAACGCTCTGCTGACCTGTAAGGGAGAGCCAAACTGGCTACTTGAAGCCACCGCGATTTGAGAGTTTGTGTTTCTGCAGCTGTTCTTCCTAATACAACTGATAGGCTCCACATTTTAAAAAATTGTTCCGTCGTATTGGTAAGAGTTTCCTGCCAGGCTCACGACGTGGGCAACACTGCTGACGGGGAAAAAGCAGCTCATCTTCCCTGGATGGGTCTTTTGTAAATATCTGGGTCGCCTAACTCCAGTAAAATGATCATGTGTATATTATGTCATGGTTGTGTCTCATCTCTGGGCAGAAGCTTGTTTAAGGCTAAGGGATGATCCAGGGATTGTCAGGAAAATGACTTCCAAAAGACGTCCAGAAGATTTTACGGCTAGGTGCGAAATACCCACCAGCAACAGTTGTGGCACCCATTCCAGGGTGACCACAAAGGACATCGGTAAATTGCAACCAATTCATTAGAGCCTTCACTGCCCACATCCCCTGAATCAGCTGAAAGAGCAGGATGATGGCTTGACTGGTGGACCCCAAAATACATGTCCACATCCTAAGCCCTGGAAGCTGCGAATGGACTGTACTTGGAAACAGGGTCTTTGCAGGTTAATTAATTTAAAGATCTCAAGGTGAAATTATCTTCGTGTGGGCCCTCAATCCAGTGACTAAGCATCTTTATAAGGACCGAAGTCGCAGACACAGAGGAGAAGGGTGTGAAGACGGAGGCGGAGAATGAAGCGATGCAGCCACAAGCTCAGGGATGTCACGCAGCTGCCGGAGACTGGGAGGGACACGGAAGGACCCTCCTCTAGAGCCTTCGGAGGGAGTGTGGCCCTGCCCACACCTTGATGTCAGACTTCCAGCCTCCAGAATAAGTTTCTGTTGTTTTAAGCCACCCCATTTGTGGTTATTTGTTACGTTACAGCAGCCCTAAGGAAGCCGATATGAATGGAAGGCCAAAGTGGAATTCGGAGAAATCAGTGCCCGAGGTTCTGGTAGAATCCGGGCTGGGGGCTGGTCTGCAGGAACGGAGGCCAGCTCTGGAGCAGACAGGACAGCCAGCATTTTCCCCTGAGCAAGCAGACCCGAGAGGTCTCACCTGAGGCAATGCGCAAAAGTGCTGTGAAATGAGGACGAGGCATTTGGGCAGAGAATTCCCCAGGCAAGGGGCTCCCTGACCAACTTGGGGACCAGCTGCACTTCAGGGCCACGGCGGCAGATATGGCTCAAGCCCCTCCGGTTTACAACAAAGTCAGCAATCGTGATCCCAGCGGTATTGAAACAAATTTTTTAAATATATAGTAGGCCGGACCAGGCGCGGTGGCTCACGCCTGTAATCCCAGCACTCTGGGAGGCCGAGGCGGGTGGATCGCTCAAGGTCAGGAGTTCGAGACCAGCCTGAGCAAGAG